CATAACCATGTTAAACACATATAAAGAAGATACACATACATACACAACTGCGAAACACTTAAAACGGTGAAATAGAGACACCTAAGTCAGCCATGAAAAATGAATGTATATAATCAATATAAATTAGATATATAAAAGTGAGACAAATTGCCAGATCTCAGGAAATCATGTCCACATCACTAGGATCTACACAGACAGAAGGCCTTGGAGATGACATCTTTTCATCACTGGACACAGGGAGCTGTGAGGAACACAACATCATGCGAAGCATTAGACTTATCTTCTCTTATCTCTGTCTATGATGCCCTCCCTCAGCTCCGGATGATTTGACTGTCTTTGACTCTGGGAATTCTGCTCCACTGGATCAAGTAGCAAGAGTACTTCACTATACAGCAACTGTACCGGTATCTAGCAAGTCTTTATCACCAGTAAGGACACACAATGTCTTTGAGCCACATTAAGCTCTGGCACTGGTAGCTGTATGAGGCACAATCTCCCCCATTTTTGGAGATGTCAGGAACCTTCACAGGTGTTAGCTGGTGGTTAACAAGTTGGTTCTGGTGGTTGGATGTTGGTGAGTGGATGTTGTTGAGACTGTGAATCTTCTGCCAGCTCTTCAGAAAATATACATCCCAAGCATATGTAAAACTGAGACCTTTCCAGATTGCCTTGAAAATTTAAAGTATACAGGCACAGATTAACACATCTGGAGGCTTGAGAAGCTGGCAAGGAGAATGGCGTCAGTTAGACATTTCAGGCGTTGGTACAAAAGAAGTTCCTTGTATACTGGGGCCAGGAGTAAATCGGTTTCCAAGAAACCTCAATTAACTCCCTAAATATATCCCCAAAAGATATACATTTAAAAGTGGAGTTTAGTTAAAGTAACCAGAAAAGGCAGACATAATAATGTTGTCCAATACAGGCCTATATATATAGATATAAGGGACTATATATTTCTGGGCGAGTCCAAGTTTGAATTTTGTGCAGATTACAGGTAAGACAGGTTATCAGCCTTATAAACCGATGTGTAATGACTATCATTTCACGACAAGAAGTTTGAATGAGGGAAAGCTTACCCTTTCGCTGCTATGGATGTCTTTTCCAGTTTTCCCATACGCTGCTACGCCCGTCTTTGGACGTTATTTTTTCTTGACCCCCAGTGTTATGGACATACTGACCTGTTTTTGAACTTTCCTTACAGATTTCTGTGACCTCTTGTCTCAGGGACCAAAGGGCAATATACATTAGATATATTTAGATTCAACTGACCCATTTACATATGATTAAAAGCACTGGTACGTGCCTTTAGGTGTGTTTAAGGTGTGTTTACTGCATTCCGTGTTATCCCGTCGCTTTGTTTACAGTGACAGCGCGATCAGTGATCTGTGTATTTTGTGCCCTGATATTTGTGGGTTTGGATTATTCTACACTTCATTGGTAAAAAGAGCAAGAAAAGTTGTTAAAGTTGATGATGAATTGATGGAGTTTCTGTCAAGAAGTGATAGCGAAGATGACTTTGAAATGTGTACTTCTGACAGTAAACAAGATTTGACTAGACCAACAATATCGACGGCTGAAACCGGCGTGTCCAAGAAAAAGCTGTTTGCTTGTCTGCATCATTTTGATGACTCCAGCTCTGGCTGTATTTCTGCTACTGTAAATTCAAACAGTTCAGTGCTTAATTTTTTTTACTCTTTTTTTTTCCACGGAAGCACTGATGACTTTCATTGCAGCAGAAACTAACAGGTTCTGCAAGGAAGTAACTGAGAAGGCACCTGTCACTACAAGTTCTGGTCTTTCCCGATGGACAGACAAAGATTAGGATGAACTTTTTTTTTTCAGTCTGTCTGCTAATGCTTAGAACAAAGAAACTCAAAATAAATGAGAACTGGAGCAAAGACTGTTTGCTAAAAGTTCCCGTGAAATAATGTCGAGGGACAGATTTTTTACTATTGTTGAGAATGTTACATTTCTCAGACAACAGTGCTCATGCAGGCAGCGATAGGCTGTACAAAATTAGACACATTATTGATAGTCTACGCACATCATTCATTATTATCATTCACACAGTACATTGCGTCAAGCGATAGTCTAGTGTAATTGGTATCACGCCCGCCTTAGAATCGGAAGGTCGTGTGTTCAGCCCCCAAATTTTTTTTTTTTTTTTTATTGTAAATTTTCCTTTCAGTTCTTGCTACTTTGCAGCAACGGATGACTCAAGAATTATTTTTATTATTATTAGTTTGATATGTAATAAGATGGTGACTACAAATAACTAGGATTAAAGTGGGAGCCGTGGTAGGTTTGTCAATCAAATTTTGGGATAGGGACTGGGAACAGTTCTTCCCTTTGGTTCATAGTTGAAAAGTCAAGTAGATACCTCATTGCTCCACAGGATGTGTCTCTTGTACATCCCAAAATAATGCACATGGCTTCATTTTGCACATTTTCAAGTCGTTCAATCTGGGTAGCACTGATAGTGAGGATGGCCAGAGCGTATTAATGGGGGAAAAGATCAGATTGTAGAATAGAAATGAAGTTATTGACAAGAAATGTTCAACCTTGTTTAAATGTAATTTGTGACAAGTTGGGAAATACCTGGACAGAATCACAACTTATATCTTAACATAGCAAACACAAAGAAAGTGTGTACAGATAAAACTACGATGGAGAATGAAATATATGTTAATGAGGAAAGATTGGATGTTGTAGAAAATTTTGAATATGTTGGGTCATTGATTACTAACAAAAGTGACACAATGAAAGAAATTAAATTTGGACTATCAGTTGCTCTTCAAAGACAAAAACAACTGAATAAATTATGGAGTGAGACAGAACTAAAAAAGTAGATTTCTAAGAGCATGAATGTTTCCTTTTGCAATATACACCTGTGAGACCTGGAATCTTACTAAACAAGCTGAACAGCACATAAACGCCTTTGAATACAGATGGGTTTTAAGAATATCATGGGCAAAGAAGAGAACAAAAGCATCCATAATTCAGGAACTGAATATTGAAGAAGGTTGGCTGTTAAAGACGATAAAACACAGAAAATTTAAATATTTTGGTCACTTGAAACTTCACGAAAGTTTAAAGAGAACAGTAATGGAGGTCTATATGCCTGGGAAGAGGGGAAGATAAAGGCCAAAGAGAAGATGGGTGCAAGATGCTGCGGATGATCTCCAAATGAGTGTATGGTATGCGGAACATCTTGCTTGTGATCGAGAAGTTTTCCGGGAGTTTGTTATGGGAGCAAGGGACATGCTACTGACTGACTGACATCTTCATTAACAGAGGTGCATGTACCATTTTTTTTCATAGTTGCCCACGATATGGAAAAAGTAAATAGCATCCCTACACCACAAGTTTTAAACTCTAGCTGTTAAAATAAGCTGAAG